TACTGAACTATGTTTTACTTTATTTCTCAGATTATTTTTTTATCTAGGTAATTTTTCACAGAAAAACTGAATGGTTTGGTTTGGAAGGAACCTTAAAAGACCATCTCTTTCCAAGCCCCTGCCATGGGCAGAGACATCTTTCAGTAGACCAGGTTGCTCCAAGTCCCATCCAACCTGGCCTTGAACACTTCCAATGATGGGACATCCACAGCTTCTCTCTGGACAGCCTGTGCCAGGGCCTTACCACCCTTACAGGAAAGAAATTCTTCCTCATATCCCATCTAACCCTGCCCTCTGTCAGTTTGAAGCCATTCCCGCTTGTCCTGTGACTCCAAGCCCATGTGCCAAGTTCCTCTCCAGCTCTCTTGGAGCCCCTTTAGGCACTGAAAGGGGCTCTAAGGTCTCCCTGGATCCTTCTCTTCTTCAGGTGAATGCCCCCAGCTCTCCCAGCCTGTCTCCAGAGCAAAGGGGCTCCAGCCCTCAGAGCATCTCTGTGGCCCTACAACCACCCTACAGTTTGGGCCTCCATCACCCCGCTGTTTTTGTCCTCCAACCCCAGAGCTCTCAGGTACAGCACACAGTGCCCTGTTATTCTCTAGTCTAAATAAAAAATAAATTATTTAACATGCTATTTTGGTAATATCAGCCATTGCAGGGCAGCTTTACTCTTCCCTGGTGTAGCCACCTGGCCCCTTGGAAGCTGTGATAGGTACACAGTGAGAGGTCTTGAGCAAAGGGAATCAGGAAATCATGCCACAAGATGAATATGTGAGTGGTTTGGGAAGCCAGAGCCTTCATCCTTAACATTGTTGCCAAACACAGGGGTGTCCAGCCATGCCTCCAATGTTTCTCAGATGTTCCAGCTTAGCAGCTCCTCGGCACATTTCCTCCAAACACGGAGTAGTCGGTAAGCAAGTTAACATTTGGACTCTTGCCTTCCCCCCACACAAAGAGCTTTGTATGTCAAGTGTGAAAGCTTTAAAATGGAATAAAAAATAACATTATTCTTCATCCTGGATGGGAGGCGACAACATGCAACTCTTTACCTTTTCTTTCCTCTGCCTTTTTAGTTTTTTTTATACTGAAAGAAAGATATAATGCAACACATTTTTGGAAGACTAAGCAGACGTTTACTGTGCCAGGTCCTATCTACTGCATCCTTCAGCATGTTCCAAGGAAAGCAGGCAAAGTATTTTAACTCTGCTATACACCACATAAGTCAGCTTCTTAGCTGCTTAGAGTGACTGGTACTACTAGAGAGGGAGTAAAAACTTTTTAATTCTTTTGATAAACCAGCTGAGCAGTGTCATTCCTGTAACTTAGTGTGTCTGCTTTCCAGCTGAGATTGCTTCAAGGTGGTGTATCATCAGGAGTTTCACTGCTTCTTCATGTAGGAAAGATTCCCAGCAAACTGGCTTTTATACTGATGAAAGAGGACTTCAGTCCTGTTGGAGTGACTTGCTACTCTTTCCAACAACAGAATTTGGAAAATTTCACTTGCATAAAATTGAAGTTGTTTCTCAGTTAGAACATCCTGTATCATTTCTTGTTTTCAAGAAAAAATAGTTGAAAAAAACCCCCCAAAGACTGTGAAAAAAAGAATGAGTGAATATTCTTTAGGCTTAAAAGAAAGCATTACTTACAGATAAAGTTATTTTAACTTAAAGTTTCTGTGACTTCTTCCCCAACACTGAATGCCATTTTCTTTAAACTCCTTTGGCCTGGAGTCATTCTGTGTTCACAGTGATGTGCTCGCTCTTTTTCTTTCTTCTCCCTTTTTATTTCATGTTATTGATTCATTTTGAGTTTATAAAATATACCTTAGAAATACTAAGGTAAGGGAACATTACATTTTTTTGAAACAGGGGTGGTGTAAGAGAAAAAAAGTACCGTTTGTGATGTTGAGATGTGAAGAGGAAAGGTGATCTGCTGTTTTCTTTTGCTTGGGTGTTTCCTTAAAGATGACACAATAGTGCTATCCCTCTGTTCATTTCTCCTGCATTAACTGGTTATTTATAGACTATTCCAGCACTGGTAGGACTGATGGAATGGCTCTCATCCCTTGAACTGTGAGGTTCCATGCCAGGATGTGGTGGGGGTTTTTTTGTTAAAGTACGTTAGGAAGAAAACAGAGTCCAGTCATTTATGACAATCACTGTTTTCTTTTTTGGTGGTTTAGAGCATCGCATGAGAATCCACCTTGAAGAAAGAATTACTTTAAAGACAGAAATGAAGGCAGAAAACAGTTTTATTTCACATATGTGTAGGTAATTTTACTAAAAAATATTCATACAGAGGGACAGTAATTGTAAGTATTTATTTAGTATTTAAGAATAACATTAAGTCCAGCGTTTAGACAACTACTGTAGACAATTTGTAATGAGAAATTTAGACTTTATTGGAAAAATCCCTCAGCAGCACTTCTCTTTTAATAAAACTTTTGAGTTTTTTCACTTATAAAGAAACTTGTTATACTTTTAATGAAACTTGTAGCCTTTGACAGTATGGATTTTCAGAGCTTTGTAGTCTGTTTGCTGACAGTAGCCATTGCTAAATTATTTAATTTAAACATAACTGCTCTTGGGATGAATCTGGTTTTGCAGTTCCCATATTTCCTTATGGAATGTCAGTAAAAGTTAAAGTATCCTTGTCAAATTTCTACATGCCTTTTTTCTTTGTCATGTCATTTTGGTTTTCCATGCCTTCCTTGTTTTTGCAAGGGGGTTTTAAATCCCTGGGACTGCTGATTGTGAAGGCTTGACATATAGGTGGCAACAGAAAAAAAAAGAATATCCCGGTATTGATACTGGGGCCCATAGTGTTCAATATCTTCATCAACAGTGTGGACCAAAATGTGGCCAAAAAGGCAGAATACACATTCTGTAGATCTGTTGATGGTTCTAAATAAAGAGCAGTGTGCACACTGCTTGATGGAGCTTCAGGCCACACAGGTCCTGAAAACTCTCAGAGTTGAACCAATAGAACCTCACTGAGTTTCTGCATCTGGGACAGGGTAACCCTGTGCATCAGTACATGATGGATGCCATAAAATCTCTGTTGTTGGTGATGTTTGAGACTTTGCTAGAAAGCCATTGCTGAATTCCAGTGGTTTGGGCAAGAGTCTTCGTTTAAGTTGGGAGGTTGGACGAGAGACTTCTAGAGGTAGGGTTGTCACAGCGAAACTCAGTCTGTCTGATAAGCCACCTCAGGTTAAATTATTTCCTTATTATCTGGTAATACCCAAATAGTAATTTCTGACTGCCAGAGAAACAAATGGCAGTTCCAGAAAATGTAGTCAAAGATGCCAGAAGTGTGCACAGAACTGGAAAATGCCTAAGTAGAACAGTTTCTATCCTGGTGACTAAAAGTCCAAATACAGTGGAAATGATTGACTGGATAGAGAAAAGAAGAAAAGAAGGACTTTCCAGGTGTGTTCCTGGTCAATTTGTAGTTTAGTTTACAGCTAAATTGAATATGTTGACTGTCAACCTGACCTCATAAGCGATAGATTGCACTGTCATAGAAGAGTGACCTAAAAGGCAGAAAACAGAGGAGGAAGCTGTGTATTTGAAGTACTAATTTTATTTTCTTTTTGAGAATTGCTTAGGCCAAATGCAGCTTATATAGATAACATATGTCTCCAAATCGACTTACCAGTATCCCTTTGGTTTTCCATTAAATCAGATTAAAGAACACTGCGATTTCGATTTCATCGAATGTGAAAGTGCACAGAGAGTCAGAGCAAAATTTCTGTTGTGTGTGCATGTGGATTTTCCCTATTGTTTTTTGTCCTTGATGTGGACACATCTCTGCTTTACCTACTTTATGGATGGTTTCTTGAGCTGTACAAGTACAGCGTTGGTGCCATCAGCCACTCTCGATCCTACTTTGTATCCACAGTGACAGCTCTGTTCTTACCAGGTGTGATGATTTAGTCACCGAGTTATAGTTTCAAAGAGTTACATTCATTTCCTTGTTGTATAAGACAATCTACTTGATTGAGAGATTGGAGTAAGTCGTCTGCTTCTGACAAGGATAGTCATTCCTTTTAATCTGACTACTGCTTCCTGCCTCTCATAACAGGAAGGATTTAATCTCTTGTGGAGACTAGATGCTTACCTTGTGAAAATCACCCCCTGCTCTGTTGAAGTAAACAGAACCCAAGCACGTGTTCAAACCTGACCACAAACTTCAGTGCTGCTTCAACCATGATTCAATTGTGGCATCATGTATATGTGGAGGGGAGGGTGTGTGTAATGTTTACGGTTTCATACCTTGTCTCTTTTGAGATACGCTCTTTTGGTTGTCATTGGACTCCACATGAAATACATTCTTAAATGCAATAGTGAACATTTTAAGGTGTTTTTCTTGAACAAACTCTAATGCAGTCTAATTTCCTTCCTTTTCCTGAGGTGTTCAGAAGTATAAAAACTCAAGCATTCATTAACAGTCAAAAAAATAGAAACAGATACATTTACCACTTATTTGTTACTGTGTATTGAGAGTGGGAAGGGGCATTTCAATGCTCTTCTCCATCTGGCACATCTTCAATGGAATTTATTCATTTCACAATTTAAATGCACATGGGTTCAGTTCTGCAGAGTGCAGAACGTGTTGGCCTCGATCCAGGAGAGCGTTGTATTTGTCTGGTCACCTGTAAGCACATGGGCAGAGGGCTCATGTGCTTCAGTTTAAACGTGCCCCTCAGTCAGGGCAGGCTGCTCAGCACCTCTCCTGCCTCAGCCCTCATCCCTGAGGGTGAGCCGTGTGCAGGCAGGTTTGTAAAATAGGAATTGACACCCTCCTCTGGGAAATTTAACTCACAAGACTAATAAGCCATCTGTGGTTTATATTTCTTCATCTTGACTTGTTCAATGCATGTTTAATTTGGGAGGGTTGCTTCAAGGTTGTGGCGAGGGCGCTTTGGCGCTATAATTTCTGTTGTGGAATGCAGTTCTTGTTGGAATAAGGTACATCATGTACTTTTACTCTTTTGTCAGAGAGCAGAAAGACAAACACGAGCCATGGATTCAGTCCAGTACGCAGAATTCTGTGAAAGTCGGCAATTGAGTTTTTGTAAGTATTATAATGGCTGCACTGTATGGAGATGTTTGATTATTATTTCATGTAATAGAGAGCACACCAGAACCTTGTGTTTTTTGAAAGCACTTTTGTTTCATCCTCAATAATAAAACTTTAAATTCTTTCTCTGCATAACTCCTGGGAACAGTTAATTTAGCAGTTTTAGGCTGTATCGGGCAGAGTATTTTATTTGAATATTTACCAAGGTTTCCATATGCACAAATACTGTGCTGGTGAGGACCATAGAACTGGTAAGGAGTTAATGGATTAAAACCACCACTTGCCTCAAGTTGTCATGGTGGTGTCAAAGTTGGCATATTAGGAAGTTTCATGGTTGCAGGTTTTTCGGAATGCATCTAAAATTAGAGAAGAGCAGCAAGTTCTGCTTTTATTTTCCGATCCGCAGAGACACAAAGAACTTACTAAAGAGACTCTTCTATTTTAAGCTGTAAGCTCCTGCTGTGGAATTTGTTCAACATTAGCCAAGTTCATCAGTATACGCCATTCCAACACTAATAACATGATGACAGAATTAGGGCTTTTCTAGCACTGAAAACCAACTTACTAGAAGTACTTGTGGGCCATGACTATAATGAGCTGTAAATTAATGGGCTTGATCATGTAGCAAAACATCATTACAGAAGCGGTTAAGTGATGACTAAGGTTTTAGGTCAAATGTCAGAGAAAGGGAGGCAAAGGAGCCAGTAAAAATCATGACAAAACAGCACATGATCCTACAACACGGACTTGAACACAATGATGTCTTTAAAGGAGAGACCTTATCTTGTTCTTCCTTTTAAATTCAAAGAAAGAGTGACTCATTTATGGCCAAAAAATGACACATTTGAGATACTGTTCTGCATCAGCAAATGTCAGCAAACGTAGGAAAACATGTTTTGCAAGCATTTCTTTTCTTAATTCAATATGTTTTTTATGTTTAGCTATAATTTGGCAACATACATCTGTGAGCCATTAGATAAATGATACTTCAGATTAGGGCGACTTGAGGAAATGAGAGGTTTGTGATAAAGTAATTTTGAAAACCCAAAAATTGCCATCTGGACACAGAACAAATAGAAATCTTAAATTTGAGAAATAAAATTGAATGTTGCTGACCAGGGGATTGTGATCTATAAAAATATCTCAGTGCTATTTTCACAATGTTTTTAAATGACCATATCTATAAAGTTCTTTTTCACTGACATTTAATGTCATTAAAGAATATGAGAATTACAGTGGTTAGAAGATAGTAGCAAGAGAAACTCAGGCACAAATTCAATTGCATAACATGAGCTCAATTAGATAGAACATAATAAGTGCCATGCAGAACATTTGTTCAAAAGTAACGTAAAAGCTATTTTTTAACTTCTTTTCATATATTTTAGTAAAAATTGAATTTATTACTATGTTAAAAGAAGAAACCCCTTTTTACTGTAATATAAACTCATAAAAACTGTGTCGTAAGAGAATAAACCTGGAAGGGACTTCAAGAAACCTGTTCTAAAACTATATATTAATAAACACAGCTACAGATATTTCTGTACACTTTTAAAGACAGGCAAAAGAAAATGTCCATCAAAGGATAAAGTACTACAGATCTACAAATTTTAACTGTAGGGAACATTTTGTGGTTCTGTCACCTTCACACTTCTCATATTTCTTTCTTTTTATTTTTTTCCTTTCCTTAATGACCCCATGTAGCCTTCTCATTCCCTCCTAAATAAAAATAACCATTATTTACAGCTGTTTTCTGTTTAACACCTGACTTGGGTAGCTTTTTAGTCCTAGTTGAAAGTGGGTTGAAAGAGCTGTTTCAGATGGTTCTTCACCTTGTAATCACTTCATTTTGGTTGCCCTGTCTCACAAACAGAAACAGCCCTCATTAAGACTTCTGTCTTAACAGCTCCTTCTGTCCCCACATTTCTGTGATCATCTTGTCCACCACTGACCTAAGTAAGATCATCCTTTTTTTTCCTCCTTTTACTCTCTAAGCAAACACAATGTTTCTCTGTTCTGTATTTTTCTCTGCCCTTTCTCCAAAGTGATCTCATCCATTACCAGTGTGAAGTTCTCGTGTGGATGTTGATCATTTGCAGATCTACATCTATCCTTATTTCTTTTTAACCAAAGCACATTTAAAAAACACTCATCTACAAATCATTTTGGCTCCCCTGTCAGCACCTAACCCCTGTATGGTTAACACCAGGACTGCTGAATTCTTCTGTCCTTCTTCATTTGTCTTTGCTCTTGTTAATAAAATTATATCAATTTTATCTGGGCTCATATTTGTATTGATTTCTTTCAGTGCTTTCTCTAATTCATCGTTATTCCTTTTACAATACATTCCAAATCAGGTTTGTCCTGTCTACACTCCTCTGAGGTTGATCCTTCATTGTTTTAATTCTTCTGTATGATTGATTACCTTGTGTTTTTTTTCTCTTTAGTCCATGTGCTTATGGGTCTCCAGATTGCTGTGTATGAAATAAGTCTTTACCCACAGGTTCCACTTTGGTAATTCCTTCCTTGATCAATCAAATCACACTCACACTAGTTGTTCCACATTTTCAGTATCTCTGTTACCCAAAAAATTGATTATTTTGACCTACCTGTTGTTAACTTTTCCTTTTCCTCCTATGGTTTTAAATGACAGCAAAGAAAGCATCCAAATTTCGTGACTGGTTGGACTGTAGCAGTATGGAAATAAAGCCAAATGCAGTTGCAATGGAGATTTTGGCATATTTAGCATACGAGACTGTGGCCCAGGTAAGGGACTCTGCTGCCTGAACTCTAGTTAAAATGAATTAATTACTCTTGGATGTACTTCAGCCTCCATGACAGGGTTGTGAGCCCCTTCAGAAGTGCAGTCACAGCTTCAATTAACCAAGCTAACTGTATTCATGGAATCAAAGAATGGTTTGGGTTGGAAGGAACCTTCAAGCTCATCTAGTTCCAACCCCCTCCTGCCAAGGGCAGGGACACCTTCCATTAGACCAGCTTAGAAATCCTGTCTGTCCTGGATGACAGATGTGGACTATACTGTACTCACCCCTCTGATACACAAATAGAAATGTTTTATAATGGCTACAGAGGAGAGTGGAGTCCAGCACGAACTTTATTCAAGTCCAAACTGAAACCACATACTTTGCTATGTGACCTTTGGCAGTGTGCTGAGGCTCATTCAACCCCATTGCACAATTGGATTATAAAGAAGGATTTCCTGGAAAACAAAATGTTACCTTAGTGCCAAGCCGAGCCCTCTTGGGTAGATAGATTGCTCCATATATTTACAGAAGTGGAAAAGAAAGGTTCCTTAGGCTGAAATATCTCTGAATAATTTTGTTTTCAGCTGAGAAACACTAAGAATATTCTGCCTCAACCCACAACCCCTCACTCATTGTTGCAATGGGATTTGTAACCCCCCTCTGTTTTGCCTCTCCAGCTGGTGGACTTGGCCCTTTTGGTTAAACAGGACATGGCTCCCAAAGCTGGTGACCCATTCAGTCATGCCATATCTGCCACCTTCATACAGTACCACAATTCTACTGAGGTAAAACTTGCTTTTTCACTTACTAATGCTTTTTATGTTTTACTTTCAGATGTATTTTCTTCCAAAGTGGACATTATTGATTCTGGTATTGATACAAACTTTCTGTTGTGGAGTTTATGAACTTTGAAGTTATGAATTTAGATGGAAAGACATTAAATTATAGTTCTGAATGTTAAATCCTTAGCAGCACCTTTATAATTAAATGCAAATCCTCTTTTCTTGGGTCGAAATTCCTTCTCTCAGCATTCAAGGTTCACTCTATTGCACATTTGGAAATTGAAGTTTTCAAAATTGGCAAGTGCACCACGTGCTGTATTGCATTGCTATAATACAGATATTCTAATTACTTCTGGAATGAGCAACCCAAATTTGGTATTACATCTCTTCTGAGAGAAAATCTAAGAAGGCAATAATTGGGGTGTTTTTTTTGTGATTTGATTATATAATGGCTGTTTGACATCTTGCTTTTATAGCCACATCTCTTAGGGCAATCTACCAGTGTGAAGACCAGTCTTGACTCTCCTGAAAACACACCACCTCCTACACCCACCCCCCCAGCATCAGCAGGACAGCAGCACCTTGGGAAAACCTCATCAGGAGCCTTGGGGAATGGTGGAATTGGACAGGACTCTACCAAATCCAAACAAAGGAAAAGAAAAAAGGTATTTGGTGCACAAGCCTGGGATTAAAAATAAAAAAAAAAAAAAAAGAACCCAAAACATCCTCAGGAAATCAGTACAGAATGAAATAATGGTTTGGGTTGGAAGGGACCTTAAAGCCCATCTCGTCCAGGTTGTTCAGAGCCCCATCCAGTCTGGCCTTGAACACTTCCAGGGATGGGTCATCCAAAACCTTGTCTTGACAACCTGTGCCAGGGCCTCACCACCCTCACAGTAAATAATGGGTCTCATTTTAAATATTAATTTTAACCTGTATCACATATTAACTACCGTTATTGTAAAGCCAGATGTGTGGTTTGGTGTTTTTTCCATCAGAACTAGGCTAAAGCTTCCCTGCAAACTGAGTTTTGTTAAGGTAACAATTGCTGCTGCTCAGATAACCTGCTCTTCTACAGCGACAGCAGGAGTCACCACCCCAAATCACCATCCCCTGCTCTGGCAGTGGCAGCGAGCATAGGTTTTAAGGGTCAAAACACAAGCAAAGTAGAAAAAGAGGTGCTTGTGATTTTCCTACTCTCAGCAACCTGTAACAACTCTGCCTGACTTGCTTTATTTTTATACCAGTTTGTTGCATTCAAGCTAAATATTTGTTTGTTTTGCATAAAATACAGATATTTCGTTCAGAGTGTGAAATGTAAATGTTGCAATTCTTGTCTGCTGTTGTAGAGTCTTGGTGTTCTGTCTGAGAGGGATATATGTACCTTAAAACCACAAGGGAAATAGATTTGATTAAATAAACTGGATAGGAAGCCCTGTCTCAGTCACTTGGGGCTGTTTTGAAAAAAATGTGATGCTCATTCTGCTTCAAAACAATGGAGTGACTTGGGATTCTATCATGTGTTTTATTATTAAAAAATACTCATTTTTCGGAGTAAAACTGGTGATTTTTACAGTGATAGACAGAAAAAGATGTATTTTCTCCTTCTTTCTCCTAATATGTTCAACTTTATGACTGTCCTTATACTCCAATTAGAAAGCTATTAGTGAATCCTAAAAACCTTTCAGAAAACTTCTGATTTTCCTCCTCCTTTTTTGTATTACATTTGATTATGTTTTGTTTCTGTGGCTGATTTCCATTATCGTTCCTAGGACTAGGAATTCAACTGGCAATGTAGTTTTTGATACATTATATTTTGCTGGTATTATGAGTTTATTTTAAATTCTTAGTGTTTTGCTTAATGCCTTTTAAAACAATTGTATTCCAAAAAAGTGCACAGTTTTAATGAAAAGTTCTCCTGACTTATTCAATTTGGTTAGGTATCTGCTGGATATAACTGAGGCACTGAGACAAACAAGTTAACTTGGTGAAGAATGTTATTTTTAGGCTATGAAGGCCCAGTCCAGCAAAACATATTTGAGTTTCATATTCCCTTTATGAGTGTCAATCAGCAAGGGAAGAATCTGCCATCATATTATGAATAATTCTGTGTGTACACACAGGCTCCAGTGGACTCAGCACTCTGGAAAATAAAACACTTCGCAAAAACTCTCCCCAATCTGAGAGCATTAGTGTATCATGTGAATTTATGAGGGGGCTGCCTATGTGTGTTCATTACACTGAAGTGTATAACTTAACTTTTTGTCATTCTCTGTGCATTCACTAATATAATTTTCATGAGTTTGTTACCAAGAAGACATCATTTGATAAGTCATCTGAATTCTAGCAATTTAGGTGAAGCCTAAAACAGCATTTCAGATTGACTAACAAGGAGAAAATAGTAACTTTTTCTTTTGAAATCCTGAGGAAACTTTTGTACAACCAGTGCCCCACTACCAGTGAGTTCTTCTTTTTATCTGTTTACGGTCCCTAATCCAAAAAGTCATTTGAAATTTGAAAACATTCCAATTTGAGGTAATTAATTCTTTTTTCTTTGCTTCCTTCTAACACCATTATGTCACATGTTTCAGCTTCAAATTTCAGTCTGATGTTACTCAATGGTGATTTTGGTGTCAAATTGCTTTCCACTTAGGGTGCTTGTTCAATATTTTCCCCACCCCTTGACATCATAATAAGAGCCTGAAATGTTTTAAAAATAGTTTCTGTGGTTATTGCAGTGTGACTTATATGACCCTCTCATTTTAGTTTGAACATTTTCTGCTCTTTTCAATTGCAACACACAGCAGCACTAGGTGAAAGATTTAAGAGGACAAACATGGTGTTCTTTGGGTCTCTTAAGCAAAGTTCATGTAAAAGTCCTCTTTAATTTGTTAATAGCTTTTTCTCTCTAATGTAATGTGTGGCAGCAATGATGTGTATCCTCAGGAAAAAAAAAATTACTCCATTTTATAAAGGTTTATTTTCATGCCTTATGCACTGTAGGTCTGTTGTGTGTTTTTGATTTAGTAACAATTTATGTGTTTTTCTGTTGCAGAGCACTGCAGCCTGTGGTATGGAGGCTCAAAGTGATGCCATCCAGCCCAGCCACATCAGAGAGGCCATTCGACGCTACGGCCACAAGATTGGCCCCCTTTCCCCATTCACAGTACGTAATAACAGAGTTATAAAAAGTTATATTTATAATCTTAAAGAACTTTGATTTTCAAGTGGTCGAATGAAGAAGCTTTGGAATTGTTGAGAGCAATTTGTGGTGACTGTAATTTTCTTTATAAAAGTGGCATAATTCTCTCGGGAAATAAAACTTAGTAATTTCTGTCTCTTTTTGGAAGGACAAAAAAGTTTCTTTTTTTCCTTTTAAATATTATTTTCTTTCAATTACAAATTATGCTTTTTTGTTAGTGCTTGAATCTTCTGTTTTTCCAAAGTTTAGGTTTACAGTTATTTTAAATTATATGTATTGCAGTATGGTGAAGAGCACTTTATATTCTAAAATTAGTTGTGTGTCAGATACTGCTCCTATTGGAAGCTGAACTCTCAAGTGTCACATTTACAGTTGGAGAAAGAAGAGAATGGTTTCTTTAGACAACTTTGAACCTCCACTGAAATGTAATAGAACTGAGCTTGTGGTAAAACACTGATGGGTTCTGAGGTTTTGCCATCATTTTTTCTATGCAAATTGCAAATCCATTGTTCAGAGCAGCCAAACGAATTCTTTATTTAATTTTCTCAGCTGATGAAAATGTGAAAGCAGTCCATCTCCAGTGTCATAAATTGGGGTTATTTTCTTCTCATCTGCTCTTCCAACGGGCATAAATCCTGCTTACCTCAGAATATCTACATTTGGGAAGCAATAAATGTCAAAGAAATCATTATAGGAAAAACAAAACAAAAAAAAAAAAACCAACACCAAACTAGAACTGAGCTTTTAAAAATCAGGAAGAAGTCGTCCAATTTTTAAGAGATTTTAGGAAAAGAAAATTATTCTGAATTTGGAGGAAGTTCATCTACATAAAAATTAAGTGTATGAAGGCCATAAATATCAAAGAAATAGTGGCCTTTGACCTCAGAAGTGAGGAAATAAAAAAAAAGTAAATGAATATGTGAAGTAATAATTTTCCTAACGTCAAAACTGATCAATGCTTTTATAAATGACAGTGAATGTTTGGTTTATTCATAATAGGCAATACACATTTGCAATTAATTGTCTTTACATAATTTTACCTCTCAGAAATGACAGATTAATATCGTGTAAAGCATAGGATAGAATTTCTAGTCCAAAACAGAAAAATATCTTTAACAGAAGTTTGCTGAGAGATGTAGCTAACGACATGGCAATAGCTTCTGAAAGCAGAGAATGTATTTAACTTTATTATAAAGAAGTAAAGAGCTCAAATAAACAGTTGCAGAAAGGTGAGTCTTCCTTGCCTGACCCTCACTAAAAGTGGTTTGGTCAATTATTAACCAAAGTTTAACTTTTTCTGCAACCACAAGTTATAATAAAATCCTCTGGTTTGGGTTGGGGTTTTTTTATGTCCTCCAGTCTTATGAATTTCCCAAAACAGGGCAGCTAACTGAACAATTTAATTTGTTAACATTACTTACTGTCAACGTGGTTGATGAGATGAGCAGATCTTGTTCCCTCTCAACAAGCCAAGAATGAGAGGGAATCTTGGGTCAGCTCCTGGATGCATTCAGATGTTGTAGGGCTGTAATATGATCCTGCTTTTAATGACAAAGCTCAGGAAAAGCATTTTGAGAGGTATTACAGAGTATGCATTTAGGTCTGTCCATCTGCCCACTTCTCTCAGTGCCCTCATTGGCAGCTTTGGGGATAACTTTGCTATCACACTTGTCCTTGCAATAACCATGACCTTTGTGTCTTAATTTGGCAGAAATGTGGATGGAGCACTGAGTAGCCTCTGCAGTCTACATAAAAAAACTTCTACAACAGATAGACTTCAATGATGGAGAGGTCTGATGGCATGTGTCTAACCAAACATGAGGAGTGAGATTAATAGCCCTACCACAGATTTTTATATAATCAGACAAGGCCATTTCCTCAGATCTCAGACAGGAACTATGTGACAAAGTCTGTGTAGGTACTGAAAAACCTTGACATTGTATTAGAAGTCTGAGTCTCTGAGGGAAGAACTGTATCAGAAGGATCTAAACCCTTCCCTATCTCCTTGCAGCCACTATAATGGATATTTTTATGGATCAATGTAATAACCAACAGGCAGGCAGTTGTCAAGGGCCTGCTGTATTCAGAAAGTTCATATCTCAACCCAAACTAGTAGGGGATGAGTTTTCTAACTAGAAGAATGAAATCTAACAGTCAGGTGTTATCCTACACAAAGATGGGTGATGTGAAAGACAGCCACCAATTGCATCCCAACAGTACTTAGGGAAGGAACAGACTCAAGGAATGAAAAAGTTTTGTGTGCTGGTATGTCTGGGTAGAGAATTGTGTCAATGGAATCATGCACTGTGTGGATTTGAATGGAAGTAAGTCCTTGAAGGAGGAGAGGTTATTTTTGTGTAATGGATTTGCAGGTATGGTTTGCTGTGGTTCTATGATATTTTGATTCTATATTTTCCATTTTGCCCATCTTTTCTCAGTTTTTTCAGACTCTTATGGGGGAGAGAGAAACAAAGGGCTGTTCTGGCAATTTGGCCAATGCAAAATACTGAACAATTATGGCTAAAATCCACTTGACTGGGAATCGTAATGGTTTTTCAGTACTTCAGGAAGGTGCTATTCCTGAATGCACCATGAGTCATTTGTACTCAGCATCCAGTGTTTAACTGGGTCTGTATCTAAGTTGACACTTACTGGGTTAGTGTCCTGGTGTGCTTTGCTTCTGTGTGTGAAGAGGTTTCCCAGAAGAATCAAGATGTGTTTCCTAAATGCACCTAAATGATGGGCTGGTGACTGTTTAGCCCAAGACCACTTATGTCACTATCTGAAAATTAATGTAAATTTTTCTAAGTGAATTAATAAGTATTTCAGTACTTATTAACAGGTAACTGTTGGTTTTGTTAGAGGGACATTTTTTACAGAAACGGAGATGCTGAGTATTTTCAGGCATTAAACCAATTGCAGAGGTGAACAGCACTAGTAGCAATACTATCTGGCATAACAATTTATGACACCTTCCTTATGGACATCTCAAACTGCAAACTTTTTGCTGGCAATGTTCATTGAAATGTCTTCTTGATATTCATGGGGTAATATGTGACTTCCTCTCTTTGGCAATTTTCTCTTCAAGAAAAAGCCCATGAGCCACATGTTGAGGAATTCTGTATGGCAAGGGTCTCTCACAATCAGCAAGCATCCTGGGATGCATATTCAAAGAAATTTTGCTTTGTTTCTTCTCTTCCCTTTCCCTCATCTCTTTACCTGGTGTCACAGACCTAAGATACAACACGTTTTTTCAAATCTTTCCCTGTTCTGCTGTTTAATCATGATCGTCCCTCTCTTCCTTCTGTTTTCGTCATGAGTGTTCCTAATGAGGCAGTTTTGGAAGAAGAGTTGAGCTGGTTAATTTATTCTTTAGTGGCATTTGATGGATGTTGGTTTGAACAAAAAGAACACTTAGAAAGTTTTATAATCATATGGTAAATGAGAACTAACATTAAACTAGTGAAAATGATCTGTTTGCATTTATTTTGACCTTAATAACTATGTCAAAATGACTAACATAATTAGAGCATTTAGGTTTTGTCTCCAAGTGCAAACCACAAGGGAAAGCAGCAAGTGTACTCTGGATTCTTCTGCATTGTATCATGACCAAGGTAGTTTAGACATACATTTTATCCATATATTTTCTATTAACAGTATTGGGTGATACTCAGTGTTTCCTGCTCTAAAGCATGGCCCAGACTTGCAAGAAGCAGAGAAATGTTAAAAAGTCGTGACATGTAATTTTGCAAGACAGGAATGGGAAGTATGGAACTCTCCATCTTGTGGGGTAATGTAATTCCATATGCTGGATCTGTGTCTGTTAAGTGCATTTGAGTTACGAAAGTGTATAGTGAGAATGATATGCAGTCTTGACTGGGCCTGTAGGAATAATCCTAATATTAATTCAAATAATATTCAAAATAATAGTATTTATTATACCAAGGTATTCACAAAAATATGGATATATGGAAATATGGATATTTCTTACCAGGAATACAAGCATAATGCAAGCATAATGTCTCATGAGAAAATATTTTATTTGAATTGATTGTGTTTCAAACAGTTGGGGTAACAAACAGATAATTCTTTAAGAGTATTTATTCTGTGAGCAATATACAGTGCTTACCTGAAATCTTGATGTGAGCAGTTGTAAGTGGCACATGAACAGTTCGAAAGCAGTACTTGTGACCACGAGAGCAGCTCTAGTAAAAACTACAGCTGGGATCCTCTTCTCTGAAATTAAAAAGTGGTCTCTACAACAGTGGAAGATCACAGGCAAAAAGAAAAAGAAAACTTTTCCAAAACAGATTCTTTATCTTTAGTTTATGACAGTTGTGAAACAAAATGCTTCAGATGTTTAGTTAAGAGAAGCTGAGTTCACCAGTGTAAATTGTAACCCTGCACAGGCTGCAGACAGTGGCCATTATTCAGCAGTGTGTGTGTGTAAATAGAGTGAATTGAAGTTTTTTGGATATTTATGTTTTGGAGGGAATGCTCCTTCAGCCTCCAAGGCATTTCAGTATGAAAAGGCTTGCTAGTCTAAACCTCCTCTTGTTAAATATGTCAGTCTCATAAAATTGCCTATACAGCATAAAACAATTAATATTTACAAACCCGTGTTTATGATACTGTTGTGACATTCCCTGCACAAAGAACATGTAACACCAGAGAATGTGATTTGGGAGAGACTTATATTATTTGGGTCTATATTATTTGGCCCTGCTTATACTCTTGGAAGTTCTTAAATAATTAGTGCAAGTATCCCATGTAGACTTCAGTATGTTACATGTATGTGTAAATCATAATTTCACAATCAAATTATATACTTAGACAGGACTTTTCACTTCTGATGTTTTTTAAAGTTCTCATTATTGATCCTGATTGAGCTCAGCTTTTATGCAAATACTTAAATCAATTTCTGAGGTGAAAAACACCTCAGTTCATCACATACCTTTAGTGAC